TCAATTGGAACAGTCTTGGAGGTAGCCGTTCTTGATTAGAGATCCTCGGATAAAGTTATAAAGATCTACGTCATATGGAATTTCAATGAGGCATATACCTTGCTCCTTACAGATATTCTGCTTTTTTTGATCGCGCTTTCTTTGCTCATCTAAATCTTGCCCGCTTTTATGAAACATTGGGTTAAGAGCGTAATGTTGTTTGCCATTAAATTCGAATGCCAGTTGCAATTCTTCATTATATCCATCAAGCCGTAATCCATTCAAGAATTTTGGTGCACGAGGTGGGAATTTTTTTCCTAACAGATCTTCGAATATATACTTCGAAGTACGCTCCCCTTTCGAATGAGGACATAGAGGACACCAGCCATACCTTTTCGTAATAACTTCGAGTGGCCTTTCCCATAAATGATTCTTATGGCACGAAAATAAGAAAGTTGTAGGACCGGTTTGAATGAAACATTTTCCTCCGCGTTTTTCGGCGTAAATTTGAGCTTCAGCGAGATTCGACATGTTTATACTTACTTATTATTATGTGTATTAATATTAGAAAAAATCATGTACGTGTTTTTTTTTTAAACACCGATTTTTCTTGGCAAGAAAAAAAAAAATTCTTAGAAATATAGTTGAATTAGTATCAGAATGAAATATTTTTATGTATATCATATTGACGAAATTAAACCACCGAGAATATCTTTAGACGATATAGATGCTCCTAAGTGGCCCTTTTATATTGTGGTATCTGGGAGATCGAATACTGGTAAAACCAACATGCAGTTAAACCTCTTTAACGGGGATAAATACTATGATCTGAAAGAGGGAAAAAAGAAAATTGGTGAACGTTTTATACGTTGCAATGATCTAGTACTTGTGGGACATTATATTAGTGAACCCAAATGGAAGTTAGTTCGAAATTTTTATAAGAAAATAGCAGATCATTCCAAACCATATTATAAAGATGTTACATTTACTGCACTTACGCCTGATAAAATTCCAGATCTGAAACAGTTTAAAAATCCAAAAAGACGCACAGTGATTATATTCGAGGATTTATGCACCGAACCACAGTCAATCCAGGATCGAATCATTCCATTTTTTAATAGAGGGCGTCATAGTAATATTTCCGCAATATATATTTCGCATAAATTCACTCAAGTACCAAAAATTATTCGTGAAAATGCAACTCATCTTGTATTATTTAATGGCGGAGGTTCAAAAGATGACATTCAACAAATTATTCGTCAATATATAGAAGAAGATCCATGTAAAGCCTCCAAAGTTATTAATACCTATTTACGGAATGGCGAATTCATTGTCTTTGATACAACTGTGCCGATTTCTGATCCTATGTCCATTAGAATCGATTGGATGAATCCTCTAGATCTGGAAAAAGAGATCAAATCATTAATAGCGTAATAAAAAAAATACCATTAGCTCAAAAACGGCAAAAAATAAAATTGTTATATTATATATATTATATTCTATCAATGCGAAGACCGTACTTATCAATAATATAATTATCATCTGGATTTTTGATACATTTCAGCAACGTATCCCAACTTCCCCAGACAATTTTATAACCTCGTTCAATGAACAACTTGTCAACATGATTTCTCAATCTTTGTTGTAGTTGATGTTTCTTGAAACTTATCCAATCACCCGGAATATAATATTCTTCATATTCATATCTTTTTTGATAGAGGTAGAGCATATCAAAGTTTTTTTCTTTTTTATACATTGTGATAATATTATTACGCCACAGATTGAATTGATCCCGAGTTTGAAGATTTTTTACTTTGCGAGTAGTTATACCTAAAAATTTCTCTTCGTCAGGAGTGCCATCATTTCTTACTGCATTCCAGACTTTAGCAGCCAACGATTCAGGTCTCTTCTTAAAATTTCTCCAAGCCCTTTGTATAATCCTTGCACGCCCAAAATCGGTTTTAGGTTTATCGCATTTGTGATCCCAATGATCTAGCATCAGATCTCTAGCTTCTATAGTTTCTATACATCGTCGACGATCAAATATTTTTTTGGGTTTTATATTAACATTAACACGAAAAATTTTCCAACATCCAAAACAGATTGCAGTTCCATTCTTAAGTGGTTTTGGTCTGTAGTAGTTTTGGTAATTATTATAATCTTCAAGTCTACCTCCAGGATAAGAAGCGAATAAGCAATATCTATGATACATACCAAGTTTATTCTCGCTTAATAAGTCTTGAAGATTGATTCTAACTCGTAGAGCCCACTTAATAAAACTTTCACCCTGTTTTACAATAGACAAATTATAGTATAATTTTTCAATCTCAAAAATATTTTTAATTCGTTCACTATTATAATAATCATGTTTATTAAAAATTGCCATAACATATTTCATATCATACCCAGGACGATTATTAAAAGGTTTAGGTAATTGTCCTTTTTTGTCGCCATGAATAATAATTGTAATATCAAAACCAGACATATTTAGTGATTATAATGAGTTTAATAATTTATATGTGATTTTATTAACCTATAAGTTAAGAAAAACTCGATTCATTTTTTGTGTAAATTCTAGTTGAATCATTTTTAATAAAACGAGAAGATATTATTGATATATGGGAACAAATCGAAAAAATATATTAATACACATAATTTTTAACAAGAATCTAAACCATGTGTAGTTAATCCAATTTTGATATACCTGCATATGATCGCACAAATATATCAACTGACCTTTTTTTACACGTTCTATGAACTTCTAATAATAGCCAGATGACGCATGAGAAAACAAAAAAAAAGTAATGTATATGGATTAGACTAAAACGTAAACATTTTAATATTCGAATGCCAGCTCTATTGTTCCACGAGATTAATTTGTGATACCGCTAAATTATTTTCTACCGTTACATATATAATGTTAATAATAAAGCCTTTTCTTATTGTATATTGTTTCTCCGATAAGAAGAAATGCTAATGAAACTCGAAAAGGATAAAAGAATGGAAAGTTTATTGTTCTTATCAGTAATAATATCAAAACTCATATGTTATGGAACTTGAGATCTTTACAATCTCCGAGATCGCCAAAATTTGTCTTATTTTTCATTCTACAAAAAGCGATCGTCAGACTGAAAGGTTTAATTTCCCATAAAAGGCGAAATATAGTCTATGGCTCATATATTTAGTGCTTGGCGGTTGTGACCTGACTTGCTTTACGAAGAAAGGATCTGACAAATGGTTTGGGTATTGTAATTACTAATCATGTAATTTTTTCTTCTAGCAGGTTCTCAGATTTAGCGAATGAAATAATATAAATAAACCGGATTTGTGAGGAATCATTTTCCATTTTCCCGCGATTTTTATAAGGTAATATATGGTTAATTATACATTATTTGCGGCTTTATCTTTCGAAAAAGCATACTCTATGCATCCATGAAAAATGAATTTTTACTCATTATAAAACTTTATACTTAGGAAACGCAAAATGAACAATCCTATTAATCTCAATTGTAGTTTTCCAGACGGGAATTGTTTTAAAATCGAAATATGTAAGGAAGATACTATGATTACGCTTAAACGTGCAGTTAGTGGTCTGTTGAATCAAGGCATTACTGATTTCAATCTCTACGTACTTGTTCCTGCGAATTCGACAGCCGAGATTTCTGATTATTTCAATACGGTTCTTAATTCGGATCAAGTTCACCTTCTCGTAAAACCAAAGGAATAATTTTTTTATTTATGATATATTTTTACGTCCTTCTGGGCTATATTTTTTTTATTTTTATGTCTTTACTTCAGTAAAGTTTTTATTTCGTAAAATAAAACAAGACCTACATAACCATTTATATTCATTCGTGTTTTTATCTGAGATTAATCGGGAAAATTGAAGTCATTTATTTATATAGATATGTTAATATGCCTCGTAAATCTAAAAATAACAGACGTAAAACTCTAGGAATATTCACCGATAATCCTAAACAGTATATGCAATTTTTAAACCGGGATAAGTATATGCAAAGAAAAGATGAAGATCACATAACTATAATAAATAAGAATACGCAAGATGCGAAAGCGATTTTTGATTATGTAGAACTATGCAGATATTTAGAGGTAAATAATCTTGATTTGGAAATTCTCAACATGTAGTGGGAAATTATCGGATATTAATGTGCAATAATTTAATTAGCTTATTTTGAAAAATTGGAGATCATTAATGTAAAAGTAAATGAAGTTATATATGCGAATCGACTTCCAAGTCAGTTTATTTATATGAAAAAAAAAAAAAAAATACGGGATATACCTATACAAAAAAATGACAATTAGTTTTGTTTGAATTCTTTGAGGTTTCTTTTACGAGATGGCGAGCTTGGTGGGGATGTAATAGTCGATAATGATGATGTTGATGCTTGTGATAGGTCAGACGTAATTGACATTTTTTCGTCCAAATCATCACGAGTATCCATTATTTTGCATATTGTACATATTATCGCAGTTCTGAAAGTTAAAAGCGTGTGGATAATATGGTAAACGTTCTCCGGATCTGTACGCATGATATGTAATGGGATAATTGCTCGTTCAAGCAAGCAATTTTTATATATTGATTTTAGGTCCATGCATCGAAGCTCCAATGCTTCCCCAACGACATTAATAGTAAATATTGATAATATATCTTTCATTGCCGTTTTCCTGAACAATCTTTCATATTTTGGATTCCTTGTGAGATCAATGGAATCTTTTGAGAGCCTATTGAGCTTTTTATGATCTCGTATTTGCTTATCCTTAGAAGAATCTGGTCGACCAGTTTCTAGATATGCAAACTCAATAGGCTTATTTTTTATTCGTATAACAACTCTAAAATCAGGTCTTCGTGCATGCTTAAATGATCCTTTCCGTTCTGCACTAGCTAAACTTGCTTCATCGCCCCTTTTTTTAAAAAGCGTATTATTAATGGTATATAAAAAAGAGAGTTTTTGTTTAAAAATACTAAATCATATTTACCAAGCTCCCCATATAGTATATTCTATAGGCAAATTACTCATTACAATATTTACCAACGGCGAAATAACCTCACAAACATATGAGCCTTCGCTTATTTTTGGCTCCTTTGATGTAACATATAACCTCCACTTTGGGGATTCCCAGACCCGACTGAATGCCTCTAACATCTGATTAGTCAACTTCTGCAATATTTCGGGCCTATCTAAAAACTTACCAAATACTGCATTGCCAGCTAATTTAGGGGGCCCCTCAAGATATTTTTTCTTTTCACTTTGGACGAACTTCTCACAGGTAGCTTGCAATTTGGCATCTATTGGTATTATATATTTTCTACTTGATGATCTAAAAATATTACGCAATTCTTCTGGCATTTCTGTAATAGGTTCCGAGCTATCATCCATTATTCCAGAAGATAGCGGATGAGCATAACCTAAATTTTCCAAGTTTATTTTCTGCAATTCTCCCTCTACAGTTTTCCACATAATCTCTTCATCCCCTGATGATACCAATGCCAACTAAATTCCGTATATTAATCATTAGAAAGATAACCAAAAAAAGAATAAGCCTTATTATCTTAAACATAAACCTTATGCACTCCATTTTCCAGTATCTCGAAATTCTTCCTTGCATCACTGAGCCAAGGTTTTTCCATATTCTGTGGTGATTCGGACTTCTTTGTTCTATTTACGAGGTTTGATTTCTTCACATTCTGAGATCATAAAAAATAATCGTTTATGATGAATATAGATTTTCTTTGAAACAATAAAATAAAGTAGAACGTACCAAAGCATTGATCTCTAATGAAGATACAATGTAATCAAATGCTTCCGATACCTAAAAAATAAAGAATATCGATTAGCTAAAAAATTTGGAAGTATTTAATAATAATAAATATATTGCGCTGATCAGATTGGATTTTTCCTTTTTCATATAGATTTTCAAAATAGGCTAGCCAATGGGCTTCTATTATAGGAATTGGTTGAGAAGTCAATGAGAAACATCAATGACCTTTGCGAAAAGGTAACAAAGTACAAGCAACAAATGTTTTTTCGGCCAATACAACCTCAGCAGGAAGATCAACATCAGTTGATATCACCTTTGAGCCCTAATCATTGATTTTTTATTAAGATTTTTCTGAAAATCATCTAAAAGGAAGCAGCCAAATTTCATCCAAGTCATCTGCTTATAATAATAATTAATTCTTTTTAATAACATTAATCTACTGGTTTAATCAAGAGTGAATGAAAACACTAATTAATTTTAGTATTTTTAATGATAACAAAATAACAAAATTAATATAATAATTGGTATTTATTAATCATTTGACTATGGGTTCGTTTTTTTTTTTGAAAAAATCAAAACCGTGGAAATTACGCAGAATTAGAGATGTGCTGCGCATAGTGTGTTACGCATAGTGTGCTACGCATAAGGTTTTAGATATATTTTTTTATAGACATTTACTTATTAATAAACATTTCTAAAAAAAAATTAATATGCCAACTACTTTCTTATTATTATATGCGCATTTATGATATTTCCCTCCCTATAATATATATACACTATGCGCACTATGCTACCATGCGCACTATACACACTATGCGCGAAAAAAAATCACAGTTACTATGAATGGCACATCTCTACGCAGAATACAGTATTATGGCAAACAAATATAATCTGATACATATCCAATCCAGATAAATATCAAAAATAATAAATTTTGTGATTATAATTCTCAACAGAATAAAGTTAGAAACATTAATATCGAGCCTTTTTTAATTGAAATAAAATAGGAACTGATCTGAAATTGAAAATGTAAAGGTTATTTTTTTATCCAATGAGAAGGCATTTTCAAGCGGAATTGTTTTCTGTGAACTCTTTCTCGTCGATCTCAAAATAATTTGTTTCCTTTCAGAGTAAATGTTGGAAAGATAACCTCAACAACTTTTCCTTCTTGATGGTTTCTCTTTCATTTCCTGGTGACGCCAAGGATCTTTTTTTTATTTTTGTTGAAAAGACCGCTTGATTAAAGGAATGTCTTTAGTTGGTAAATGTCGGAATTTTATGATTGGTAAACAACACTCTTTTACAAAAACTTAAAGCAAAATCTAAGCGGTGCTTTATACCAAAGCAAAAACCTTACTACCCGTTGTTAACATTAATACCAACCTCAGAGTTTTATATACTACAAAAGTGTTTTTTATTAAGCGAAGCAAGAATTATCTTATTTTATTAAATTATGAAAATGTTTATTACAAAACAGATTACAGTCTACTCTCTCTATAATAATAACGGATCATTCTATAACGGATTTTCCTTTAAAATTTTGTCCCGATTTTTTACTATTTGAAATCTCTCTTTATAACAGATATAGTTGGCTCGGTTTAAAGACCTTCTAAATTTTGGGCAAAGTTTAAAAGTATAGAAGTCATTTTCCGTCCTACCTTTTAAAAAAATAGCTCTATTAGTTGATAGAATATGCCTTTAGTT